ACTTCTGGCGGTCCCCTTGCCCAGAGATTTCAAGCTCCCACCTTTGGACAAGTACAATGGGTCCTTCGACCCCAACGACCACGTTGACGCTTTTCAGTCCCAAATGCACCTCGCCAAGGCCAGTGAATCGTGCATGTGCGTGGCCTTCACCACCACCTTCAGGGGGGTAGCCCGCACTTGGTACAGGAACCTGGCCCTTGGGTCGATAAAATGTTGGGCCCAGTTCGTGCAAGTCTTCACCGCACACTTTGTCACTAGCAAGTGGTGCCCCAAAATAGAGGAAAGCATCTTTAGAGTAGTCCAGAGGGAAGGAGAATCCATCCGGGGCTACATCAAGCGGTTCAATGAAACATGCTTACAGATACCACGGTTAGACCCCGCGGTGCAGCTCGCGGCGGCCAAGAGAGGAGTAACGCACAAAGAGTTCAAATGGCACATGGTAGCTAACCAGCCCGCAACCGTGGCCGAATTCCTCAAGCTCGCGGACAAGTTCATGAGGATAGAGGAAGAAATCAACCAACGAACCGAAAGCGGGAACGGGAAAAGAAAGAGGGAAGGCGAGCCCTCCAACCCAGTCGACAGAAAAAACCCGGCCCGAGAGCCAAAGCCGAACCAGTCATTCCGAGCTCCCCTAGCAGTTCGGACGGATTAAACTCCGTTAAACGCGAGGCGGACCGAGATCTTAATGACGATCAAGGACGCCCCATACGTAAAGTGGCCACCTTGCCTAAAGGGAAATCCAAACGAGAGAAATAAGAATTTGTATTGTAGTTTCCATAGAGACCACGGTCATAGTACCGAACAGTGTAATAATCTTCGGGACAAGATAGAGGGACTCATCCGTCGCAGATATTTAAGAAATTTTGTACAGCATGACAATAATAACAATAAGGTAGGTCGGCAAGGGGAGCACGGAAAGGATGCCCCCGAATCTAGCAGCAGACCAGCCAAACCGTTGCAACGACAGCCTCCAGAAGAGAGGCCAGTTCGGGGAACCATCCATGTAATTGTGGGAGGTTCGGTGGTAGCAGGGTGTACCTCGGCAACAGCCTGGACGTCAGTTCGCGAAGTGACCCTCGAGGAACGGAACCCCCCAAAAAGACCAAAGACTAAAGAACCAATATTCCAGCTACAGTTACAGAGGAGCGAGCTGAAACCCGCGAACACTCCTCTGGTGAGTTTCAACAGAGAAAAAGTCAGGCCCCTCGGAAAAATAACAGTACATGTGGAAGTCGGCACATGGCCTTGTGCGGTCAGACTCAACCATGATTTCTTGGTGGTCGTGACCCCCTCCCCATACAATGCCATAATAGGGCGGCCAATCACGCATATCCTACGGGCAGAGTGGTCTCCACCTACTATTTGGCCACGAAGTTCCCTACAGACTTCGGTGTGGGGGTAGCGCGGGGCGACCAGCTCGAGTTCCGCAAGTGTTATGTTGCCGCCCTGAAGGGAAAATCCAAGGAGGTCGACGACCTTGAACTGGAGTGGTCTGCGGAGCAAGGCAAGGAACGAGCTTCGCCCACAGAGCAAATGGTCGCAGTTCCAACTTCGGCTACAGACCCAGCTCGCACACTACAGATCGGTGCTTCCATCGAGGAAACACTACGAACCGAACTGGTGAGTTTTTT